TTGCCGACATACCAAATTCCACAGGATGGATATGTCGTTCCCAACGTTCTCCCTTCCGAAATCCGACATGCCATTTCGTCGGTAAAGAAACAAACAGCACCTGGCCCAGACAAGGTCAGACCTGAACACCTGAAGAACCTGCCATCAGTACTCATCAATACACTGGCTCGGCTCTTCACTCGCTACCTGTCTGAATGCAAGGTTCCGTCCCAATGGAAAACCAGCAGGACTGTACTACTGTTCAAGAAGGGAGACATCCATGACATTGGCAACTATCGCCCGATCTGCCTATTGTCTGTCATCTACAAGTTGTTCACTCGAGTCATCCTGAATAGGATTGGCAGAACACTAGATGAAGGACAACCATGCGAGCAAGCAGGGTTCCGCAAAGGATTCAGCACCATTTACCATATCCACACAATAACCAAGCTCATTGAGGTTTCTCGGGAGTTCAAGATGCCGCTCTGTTTAACGTTCATTGATTTAAAGAAGGCCTTTGATTCTGTTGAGACGGAAGCGGTCATTGAAGCCCTAGCCAATCAGGGCATTCAAGCCCAATACATCAGGATCCTCCGTGAGCTCTATTGCGGATTCACTACCAGGATCTCACCATTCTACAAAGAAGTGATCGTTGATGTCAAGAGAGGGGTGCGGCAGGGTGATACCATTTCACCGAAACTCTTCAGTGCCACCCTCGAGAACATCATGCGACGACTGGAATGGGAAGGAATGGGAGTGAAGATAGATGGTCGGCAACCACACCACCTCCGCTTGGCTGATGACATTGTTTTAATAACACCAAACATCAGCCAAGCGGCACAAATGCTGGCCAACTTTGACTGTGAGTGTGGAAAGGTAGGACTACAGCTGAATCTTACGAAGACAATGTTTATGAGAAACAGCCTTGTTCCTGACGCCCCATTCGCTCTCAATGGAACGACCATCTCTGAATGCAACAGCTATGTGTACCTAGGTCGAGAGGTCAACATGACAAATGACCTGGCACCCGAGCTGCGCAGGAGGAAGAGAGTGACTTGGAACGCCTTCAAGAACGTCGAAGAAATAGCTAAGAGGACGAAGAACCTCCGGCTCCGGGCACATCTCTTTGATTCCACTGTTCTTCCTGCATGAACATATGCCTCAGAGACCTGGGCCCTACGCAAACAAGATGAGAATGCTATTCAGGTCTCCCAAAGAAGAATAGAAAGAGCTATGCTTGGAATATCACGTTTCACTCAAATGAGAGAACGAATCCGGAGTTCTGACATCCATCGACGATCAAGGATCAGGGACGCTGTCTCATTTGCCAAGGTGTCGAAAATCAGATGGACTGGTCACGTAATGAGATTTAAAGACAACCGTTGGACTAGAACTGTTACCGATTGGATTCCACGGGATGTCAAAAGACCACGTGGCCACCCACCTACCAGATGGTCAGACTTCTTCGTCAAGATCATGAACGATCGGTTTGAGGCCCTTCATGTTCCCAGAGTGAACAGATGCCATTGGGCTACACTAGCACACGACAGGGACAAATGGAGACGTTACTGGTGCCCGCTCGAGCAAATCGACGACTAACGGGAAGTTAAGTGATTAAGTGATTGGGTCACATCTAAAGATGCTTCCTAGCTCTGTGCTCAGGCAACACTCCAGGCTGGACTCAAGAGACCATCTGGGTGCCCTGGATCTAACCCAACTTAGCAGCATGCAAAGCAAATGCCCTACCCACTGTATAATCTCTCTGGCCCTGTATCATGCTTGCTAATGTTTGAAAAATAGTTTAGATGCAGACCACAATCAGAGCATACTTTAGATACTACCAGTTCCTCAAATAATGACAAATATAATTCCCCCTCAGATTGCCTTAAAGTACACAATCTACCAGCCTTGTTTAGATAATTTAAGTTCATTCTTCTGGTTTTCTACTGCGTTTATCCCTCATACACATACTGAATCGAGAATCTGGATGTTCGTTTGCCCATGCACCTCAGGAGTAAGACCCTGTGACTGCCTTTACAAACTGAGCTAAGGAGAAAAATCAACAGACACCAACAGGTATTGGAGTCCTCAGAAATCAGTTTAAATCACTCGGATTTTCAGAGTGCAATATTGCCAGGACACATATAGTAAGACCATAAGTATACGTCATTATATAATTTAAATACAAGAAAAATTCAATAAGTTGGATCACACTTTTCTCATGAGCAGCCACTATCTATGCAACAACAACAACAACAGCAAAACCATAATGGCATAAAAACATAGAATTTAGACATTGAAACAGACCTTTCAGAAGTATGAGCTCTCTTTTGGATCCAACGCTCACTTAGCTACCTGACACCTGCCTTTCTTCTGAGCAGAAGATATGGGTTTGACTCAGGATCAGGCTCTCAGGCCTGCTCAGAGCTTTCAGATATGTCTCAGTGACTTGGGCACCACAAGCACATACGAGGCCTAGCTTGGGTGGTCCAATTAGAGGCCCTTATCAAAAGGTCCCCTTTCCTTCTAGAAACCTCCTCACTGAGATATATTTAGATGCTTCAGATCCTATTTCTTCTAGATCAAAAATAACAAACACAAAAAACTACCCAATAAATTTCCTCAGGAGTTCTGTGTTCTAACTGCAGGACTCCGAGTTAAATAGTTATAAAGTCAGTAGGAGAGTAACTCCAAAGTTGATTTTTGTTCCAGCATCTGAAACACGGGGTGTGGAAAGTGGTCCCTCTTTGTTGAGCCTGAGGCTATTCTAAGACGCCTGCCCCACTGCCTTCCAGCTTCGAGTCAGAGGGGAACTGAAATACCTCTATCCTCCACTCTCTCTCTCTCTCTCTCTCTCTCTCTCTCTCTCTTTCTTTCATATATATATATATATATATATATATATATATATATATATATACTGCTTCCCCCCTTCCAAGTCTACAGGAGGTACCAGGCTTTTCTTTTGCTAGTGCTTTTCATATTTTCCATCAAATATGCCAAATCCTCCTTCCTCACTTGTACAGAACCCCTTCTGTTGAACAGGACCATTTTCTTGAATGTTGCAGAGAACATAAGTATAGGAGGCCTCCAAATTAAGTGTTAGAATATGCTCTTATTTTGCTTGCCTTTTGCATATAACTAATCCAGAACTTTCCCCAGCCAAAGGAGTACATCAGGCCATTTGGGTGGAAGGGCATGCTTTCTTAAAAGAAAAAAAGAATTTTATTAATGATTTTCTAATGTTCATTTCATTTAACTAAATATTGCCTTACTAATACTAATACTATCGTTTTATATAAATAAAGTTTCTCCAGATGAGGAAGGGATGAGAATAAGGACAAAGACAGCTCCAAATTCATCCCGCTAGAATTTTCTTATGTCACATGAAAGTATCTGTCAAATACTGGGGATTTGTCAAGTACTTTGGATTCCAAGGGATCCAGCTTACAGTGGGTGGTACTTGGTATGTGTCAGGTTCTGAGTTTGATCCCCTATACCACACGCCCCACCTCAGCACCACCAGGTATAATAGTGGTGGCCCCTGATCACTGCCAGTTCAAAACACAAAAGAAATAGTTGAATCACTGAATAATCACTGAATAATCAATACCACCAGACCCTGTATTACTGGGGCCCCCAGCACTACTCAGGCCCCTAAAAATATGAAGTATCTGTCCAGTAATGTTTTTAAATCACACCATTTGGGCAGATATTTTCTCGAAATGTACTTATATATGAAAATAAAGAATGCAGACCTCAGAGAGCTGAAGTGTTGGAGGAAGCTTTACAGGTTGAATCTTTTCTTCCTACTAAATGGTGAAATGAAGTCCTATGTTGTTTTCAAAAGGACTAACTTGACACATTGGAGTTTTTTTTTATTAACCTAAATTTCTTTCTCTGAATTTCAGTTGTATTAAAATCAGAGACTAGTCCTACGAATCATCAGATTATTTTACCAGTAATATGATTTAGATTGATAAAGCCAAGTTGATTTTTTTTTTACAAATTACAACAGGATCTGTGGATTTGGATATTACTGAAAGTGTTAAAACTCTTGATGAATTCTTCCTGCTTAAAGTCTTTCTTGCACTCTCCCATTTACTATGGTAATTTATAATGTATTTTAAACATTCAGAATATGAATAATCTTTCTATTTATGCATAGAACAACATTTCCTCTCAGAAGCCCCACAACTGTTTTTATCCTGGATATCATATGCTAATTTAAATACTTGTTTTCTATAAGTTTAGAACATATATCTTTAAAGATGTCCGGGGACTTCAGTCATTCATGGAACAAAACTCTAAAGAGTACCATTCCCAAGAATATAATTTTGAGGTTCTTATTCCTATCTTATAATCTAAATTCTTAGAAATTTAGAATACTGTCAGCCTGTCAGATACAATGATTTTGGGGGTACAGATGTGAATTAGTGGCTGAGCATGTGTGAGGTTCTGGATTCAATCCCCAGACTGAGAGAGATTGACAGAGACAGAGAGAAAGACAGAGAGATAATTTTAGAAAAGAATCTATCTTATAAATTTTTATGTGGAAATAGGAATTTAAGAATTATAAGCAGTCATGCATGTGATCATGGTCACTGTCCTCCCGTTATTCATGGATTTGCTCGAGCAGGACCAGTAAATCTCCATCGTGAGACTTGTTGTTACTGTGTTTGGCATATTGAATACGTCACGGGTAGCTTGCCAGGCTTTGCCGTGCAGGCGAGATACTCTTGGTAGCTTGCCAGGCTCTCCGAGAGGGGCGGAGGAATCGAACCCGGCTCGGCCAGGCCGGTTATATGCGAGGTGAACGCCCTACCGCTGTGCTATCGCTCCAGCCCATGCATGTGATATATTAAAAATAAACAGTCTCTGTAGAATAGTATAGTCCTCTTCTTGCTATCTAGTGCAGCTGCCCATATGACTAATTATACTTACATTAGAAACAGAGCTTTTATAAATGACCCATCCCCAATGATGCAACTCCTGTCTTCTATTTGTCTCATCTTCTGCAGCAAATCTACTCTTGGGTCAGTGCTCTTCAGTATGGCCTTACAGAATGAACCCCCCATAGAGATGATAGCCCCAGGAGTGTGGGATAGAAGTCAGCCATCCCCAGTAATCCTACAGGTAAGTTCAGCTACATAACTAAAGTAACAAAATAAGTTCTGTCAGATAAGTGGCTACTGCCAATTACAGGAACCACTTTCTTCTAGAATAACACATTTCCGTGTTTTTTCTTTCTTTAATCTTCTGGGACCTCTCAAACCTTGGCCGCTTTATTTTACATTCACTATTCTCAAAGCAGTTTTTCTCCCAGCTTATTTAATGGTAATTTCAAGAAATTTTCCATTAGACATAATCATGAAGAAGATAGATTGGTTATTTCCATTGATATATTCAGTCCATACATTCACTTTTCTTTCCATTGTCTGAAATGTCATTGGCATACATATCAACGCGGTGTTATTCATATCTTACTCCTGAGTTCTGTGAATCATCCTTTTTTAAAAATTTTTATTAGTGAAACACCATGAGGTACAGTTGTAGACTTACAAATTTTTATGCTTGGGTTTCAGTTATACAATGATTCAGTACCCATCCCTCCACCAGTACCCATTCTCTACCACCACTAATCCCAGTATCCCTCCCACCCCACATTCCCCCATCCCACCCTGCTTTTGTGGCAGGGCATTCCCTTTTGTTCTCTCTCTCTCTTTTTTTAATCTTAAAGTGACTTCCTATGATTTCATATCGTAAATGAAAGGTGCTTAACAACTTCAGCCTTGGGCCAGAGAGGTCACTCAACAAGCTCAGCATCCACTTTTCATTCAGTGGTCGCTGATTTAAAGCCTGCCACTTCATGGAGCCCTGGGGACAGAGAATTAAGATTAGCCCCTGAGCACTTCTGAGTGTGGCCCTAAAACTAGCAAACAAAGACAAACAATGTCTAGTCTTTGGTCCTTGCAAGTGACTTTTTATTTGTTCATGATCATAAGTAGTCATATTGGTCAGATAACTAGATAGTGTTCCACATGTTTAGAAAATAAAGATCATGGAATTTTTATCTCTGGGAAAAGTGGGACGTGCTTTCCAGATGCACTTCCTAGAACATTATCTGTCAACCTAGCCCTGCTAACATTTTGAATTCTGTAATTCTTTGGGGAGGTTACGTAGTGCTGGTAGGATATTTAGCAGGATCCTTGCTCTCCTGCACTTGATGCCAATGGCACCTCATCATTTCTAATAATGGAAAATGGCTCTAGATACTGTCAAATATCTTACAGGGATAAAAATATTCTCAGATCAGAATCTGTCTTCTAGAAGTCTCTAGATCTTTAATTTCCTGGGTTTGAGATGAAGGAGACGGACGGAGTATGGAAGTATATAGACTCGCAAGTTGGACACAAAATGGTGAAACTGGAGAGGGAAAATTCATACTAATAAAAATAGAAATTTCAATTTGGAGACAGGAAGAAGTTCTCAGCTGACCCAAAGATTTACTTCTAATTCATTGATATGATTATAAAGAAGATTAGCCGTTCAGTTTGGGCCAATAACTTACTGATTAGTAGAAGTTCCACTGTACAGAGTTGAAGAAAACAAATGTTTCTTTCATCCATTTCCTGCCAGATCCAAAACAGCTTGACTTAACAAAAATCTTCCAAGTGTTACTTTTGCCAGAGCATTGTGAATCTGTCCCAGAACCGCGCGGCCGCATTTGCGGCCGCGCGACATCTTATCAGAACTTTTTTTTATGACATCTTATTATCTCATTCCTACTTTGGACAAACTTGCAGGCTATCGAATGTAGCCTGCCCACAGGGCAGAGTCTGGCAAACTCCCTGTGGCATACCAAATATGCCAAATACCAGTAACAATGATGGGTCTCATTCTCCTAAAGAGCTGTGAATATAATCTCAGGGCTAGGATGAAAGAGACGTTACTGGGGCCTGCTCGAGGCAATCGACGATTAACAGGATGATGAAATGAAATGAAATGAAATTGTGAATCTGTAATGAGCACACACAGGATTTTCAACAGTAGCACTGGGGTAAGAAAAGTGAGGGAAGACTTAAGATGAGAAACTTCTTGATCTATCTCAATGAGGGGTGTAACTTCTTTAAAACACAGATCCCAGCAGAGAAAAAGTCACAAGTGTTGAACACTAACAAGTAGGTAACTGGGGCTGTGACAAATTGTCTTATAAAAGCAAAGGACTATGAACTATTCAACAGCATGCAAAAAGCATGATGTTTGCATGCTATAGTCACATAGTAAGCACATAAGGGGAATCATTCAAGAATATTTTAAATTAAGGAGTTAGATGAAATAGGCATGACTGTGGTATTCAAGACCCTGAGTAACCTGAATCACTCTAATAACATACGTTAAATTGAGAGCAGACGCTTTTAATTCAAAGATTATGAGCTGATGAAATTTAAAGTAAATTCAGCATCGGTGTTTATGTTAAAGAGTCAGGAAAAGACTTTAGGCTCACGTAGGAAATCTAGACTCTAGTTGGCTGAGACTTTGGCGAAAAACTCTATGACCTTGTTACCTAGTTTTCTTCTGCAGTATGATGGGATTATGCTATGCTCCTCTGACTTCTTTCAGGTCTTTAGTTTCCTGCTTGTCTTTATTAGATGGGGACTGATAGCACACAGGAATCTCTCAATTCTAATAAGGAATGTGCCACGTCACTGAGCATGATTTCTTCAACCCAATCATTTTTAGCATATATGGCTCATCTGCTTGCCAGAAGCAGTTGAATGGAACAAGAAAAAAGGTCTTTCATTCATAAATCACAAAAGATTTCATCAGAGATGAAAACTGACTTCATCAGCCTGGGCTTCCCTCCACTTCTGGCACTGTCCCATATACAATTTTGTAGAGTGGCTTCATGTCAATTTAAGAACAACAACAAAGCATTGTTTTTTTTTAATTTTAATGAATCATGTGAGATACAGTTACAGACTTACAAGCTTTTGTGATTACATTTCAATCAAATAATGTTCGAGTACCCATCCCTCCACCGGTGTTCATTAATCAGTGTTGCTATTCCCTGTTCTAGTTCTCTACTTTCTCTCTTTCCCTCTCATAACCAAATTTGCTGTTTTAGGACTATTTATTATCCTCACAGCAAACAGTCAAATCTATTATATATTTTCACATATTTATTTAACTGTCACTCTGATCAACTTTTTTTTTCTTTTTGGGTCACACGCAGCAATGCAAGGGTTATGCATGGCACTGCACTCAGGAATTACTCCCAGGCGTGCTTGGGGGACCATATGGGCTGCCATGCCAGGGATGGAACCCTGGTGGGCAGTGTACAAGGCAAATGTCCTATCCGCTGTACTACTGCTCCGGCCCCCTGTGATCAACCTTTAAGAGTTTTAATCACTTTAAAAACGAAAGTTAGTGATTTTCAGGTACTTCTTCCTATTCCCCAATTCTCTCCAATGTTGAACAATTACTAATAAACTTCTGTTCTCATCATATTTGCTGCATCTACATATTTTATGTAAATGCGATAATACACTATGTTATCTCTCATGTCTGATATTACTTAGCATAATGTTTCAAAACTTTACTATATCAGAATACATTCAGATTTTACCATTGACTAATATTGCACTGTCTGAATTTACTACTTATTATCCCGACCTTAGAGTGCCTTTATTTGGTCCATCTTTGGTTCTCAAGCACAGTGCTCCTCTGAACACTTTTGTGCCAGTGTGTATGTGGACATATAATTCACTTTCCTTGGGTATACAATGAACAGTAGAATGGCTGAGTCTAGTTCACTTCCAAAGTTTTATTCACAGTATGTATATATGTATACATATATCTATATACATATATATACACATATATACGGTCACTTCTGTGATTATATTTTAAATTCCGTTTTCTTTCTACCACAATCTTCAGACAGATATTGCCACATACTACTAAAATTCCTACCTGAACATTCTAATAGTTTCAAAGACAACAAATCCCAAACTGAGTACATCTTCCTTTCAAAAATTATTTTCTGCTCCCTGAATTATTGAAGTCTGCTAGTGCATCCACTTCAACTTATTATATTTATGATGTACATCCTTCCTTTTTCTACCATATTCAGTCCATAATATACCATGCCAACTTAAATCCCATATGTTTCTCTCAGCACTCTGCCTCAATTTCCCCAGCTAAACAACTTCTTCCTAGTTTTTCAGACTTTAGCATTGCTTTTGTCATTCTATATTCCAAAGTCTAGAATTACGATCATTTCAAGACTTGTATCTGAAACTGCCACACTCTGAGAATTAAGAGTTAAAGTCTATAGCGTGTGCCAACCCTCCCCCCCCCCCCCGCCCAATGCTGCCCATTCTCTACCTGACACTTCAAGAAGCACAAAAATGTCATTTCTGACACACTGTCCTGTTTTGTCTGATGAGCATTTATGAAAAACCATTCCCAGCCTGCAATGTGTCTTCCTTCTTCCCTTCACCATTCATTGCCCGATTCACTCTCCCAGGTGTTACTAACACACATGAATGAGATTCCTTTCTGTACCTGCTTTTAGGGATCGCTCCTCTCTTGCCATCCCAACCAGGTTAAGTATCTCTCTTCTGTGTTCACATAACCAATAAAATACTTTTTATCAAGACATTTACCCTATTATATTTTTCCCACCGAAAGAACTATTTCTGTGATTATTGATGGCATTTTATCTCGAATACCTAGAATAATTAGTGTTGTTCTGACTATAGTAACCCAACTCAATTACACACACACATGCACACACACACACACACACAAACTTAAATTTTGGCCTACTTACTAAAATTCAATTCCCCTAATAATCAATTATTCCTTTTATGGAAATGAATTTCTTCCTTAATCCATGGTTCTTAATTATTTGCCCAAAATTTTTGCTGCAATTAGTGTTTTATGATGTGTTTATTCCATGTTATCACTGGTATCGAGAGAGGCCACAATTTAGAACTGATACATTGTTTTCCAAACATTTTTTCTGTCCTAAGGTAACTGAGTTTCATCCCTCACTTCTGAACCACACATATGGGTCCCCTTTAACTATCCCTTTGAGACTCACAATTGCCATACGGCTGGCAAGCATCCTTCCATCCTTGTTACTTGCCTCAGAATTTATGGTATTAAATCTATGTGTTTAGAAGATCCTAACTACATTACATGTTAGAAGCAAGTTCTTTGAACAAATGGACAAAATCATGATAGCCTGAAATGGATCTAGTGTCATCCTGTAGAGATAGTGATGGGCTACGGACACTCAGTACTTTCACCATATTTCTGCCAAAGAATCATTGGCTACAAAAATCAAAGTGGAAATCATGTGGACCACATATAAATAGAAGAAGATAAGATGAAGTGAAGAAAAATGGACAAGGGGTGCTAAGAGCCAATATTCAAATGTGTGAGTAGGCCTAATAAGTAGTTTCCTATTACCCAGAAGAAAAGCCCTAACTTTTTTTTTCTTTTTGGGTCACACCCGGTGATGCTCAGAGGTTACTCCTGGCTTTGCACTCAGGAATCACTCCTGTTGGTGCTCGGGGGACCATATGGAATGCTGGGAATCGAACCCGGGTTGGTCGCGTGCAAGGCAAACGCCCTACCTGCTGTGCTATCATTCCAGCCCCAAAGCTCTAACATTTTCGATTGTTTTGTTGGAATCGGTAGTGCATTCTCAGGACTTGGGGGTGGGTGGGTGACCAACAAGTGTCCTGGCACACATAACGCAGACACTGAAGATATTTCCGGAGCACTCCTTTAACAACAAATCCAACCCCAAGGCCAGGCATAGCTCTTTACTCCACAGAAGAAGAGTTATGTTTGTCCCTTTTAGCTTCAAGCAGCTTCAGGGTGTTATATTTTAATTGTTCATATGTGCCTTTTCTCCCTAATTAGACTTTTGTCTCCAGAGGTGATGAATACCTCTTATATTCTCCATGCATAATGCATGGTGCTAAAAAGAATTTTAGAGCAAACACATTAACCCATGCTTCTGAGAAACTTCTCTTGGAAAAAGAACAGAAGGGCAGCTGGTAGAAATTCCAATATTTTCTGTGGTTCTAAAACCTGCAACTACTTATATCCTAGTAATAGAAATAAAAAATTATAAGTATAATCTATTAAATAACTTATTATAGGTTTGTATATCTTCAGTTTTTTCAACTACCTGTTTTTACTTAGACCAACCTAAAATAGATCAAGCTAATTGAATATTATTTTAGCAATTTCTATTTCATCTGTTTAAAACTATTTGGGCATACACAAGTAACTTGTAAATCTGCTAATAGCAGGTGTGCTTCCCCAAAGACAGAATTAATGATTGTTTTGGTTTCAGTTTTATATTATTTTTTTAAAAAATTTGGAACCACACCCAGTGATTCTCAGGGGTTACTCCTGTCTCTGCACTCAGGATTCACTCCTGGTTGGGCTTAAAGGACCATTAAGATGCCAGGGATCAAATCTGATTCAGCTGCATTGCAAGGCATGTAACCTACTTGCTGTACTATCACTCTGGCTTTTTTTATTACTTTTTTTTTATCATGTTGCAGTAATAAGTGCTGCAATACAACAAAAAATATCAGACATAAAACCGATCTAAACCAATTGTAGAGATTACAGAATGAAATTACTACAGCTCTTTCAAATAAGACTCCTAGTAGATTAAGCTCTATTTCCAACTGTAACCCAATTTATTTATAATGCCTCTCAATGCCATGGGATTTCCAACCTAATGTAGACCAGCAGAGGAAAAACTAATTCTACATTATTTTTAAATATGGATATGATAAAAAATATAAACAAATGCATAGAGCACTAAAAAATCTAGCTTACTTATATAGTCTGAAAGAGTATTTTAACTGTTACCTTATTTACTATAATCATAACATGACTTAATGGAAATCATAGTAAACTCAGAAAGGAGACCTATATTCTAGTCATAGATATAAATCTTAACAGAATATTTGAAGTGAAGGTATAATTGAGATTTGAAGTGAAGGTATAATATAACAGAAAATACACTTATGAAACATATTTAACCAAAAAAATTCTCATTATCTAAAATATGGTTCTTAGATTTGTAAATTCTATCAAATACAGAAAAACATACTTTACCAAATGCTCTACATAAAAAAGAGTAATTATCACACATTATTTTCAATTTACAATTAATATAACTTAATATTAAATAATAGAGCTGGAGAGATAATATAGAGATTTAAGAACATGCCTGGCATTTGGGCAATCACTTTTGTCCCAAGCACCATATATGGACACCAAATACTGTCATGAGTGACCACTGGGCACAGAGCTAGGAGTAAGACCTAAGCACCATCAGGGATGGCCCCCAAAACAAAAAAATAAATAAAATAATAAAACTAAGCATAGAAAGGATGTGATTTCATCATTAAGCAAATTGTAGCATATTCAAATATATAAAGGTTTATATATTATTATCTGCCCGTATTTCTTAAGACATTATAAATTACTAATTCACACATTTATGAAAATAACTGATGATTATCAAATACTCCGGGTATTAAAATACTAAAGCTAAACCCTGATGAGTATTTTGATTTATGTAATAGCACGAAATTATATAAATTTTAGATTCTGAAAATAAGGGATAAATGTTCAATTAAGAATGTGTTTTGCAGGCCTGGAGTGATAGCACAGCAGGTAGGGCACTTGCCTTGCACGTGACCGACCTGGGTTCTATTCCCAACATCCCATATGGTCCCCCAAGCACCGCCAGTAGTAATTCCTGAGTGCAGAACAAGGAGTAAGCCCTGAGCATCGCTGGGTGTGACCCAAAAAAAATAATAAAGCAAAAAAAAAAGAATGTGTTTTGGGGGCCAGAGCAATAGTGCAGCAAGTAGGGTGTTTGCTTTGCACGCGGTCGACCCAGGTTTTATCCCCATCATTCCATATGATTCCTCAAGCACCGCCAGGAGTATTTCCTGAGTGCAGAGCCAGGAATTACCCCTGAGCATTGCTGGGTGTGACCCAAAAAACGAAAAAAAAAAAGAAAAAAATGTATTTTGAAGCATTCACTATATGGCAAATCATTTCTTTATTTCAGATCGATTTTCCAGCTACTGAGTGGGAGTATATGAAACCTATTTCAGAAGAGGCTAGAAGTAATTTGGAAGAACCACCGAAAGAGTGTTTAAAACATATTGCCAAACTTTCACAGAAACAATCTCCCTTGCTGTAAGTGATCTTGAGAGTAAAGTGTCTTATCTGCTGGTCAGGGCACTATCGTTCGCACTGGATGCCCTCGGATCTTTAAAGACGAAACCTTTCCCATGTGACTCCTTTAATTCCCAAATATACACGTGGGTAGATGGTCAATTCATGCTTAAGAGCTAAAATTTCTTAATGTCATATGATTTTGAATATTTCCTCTGTGACATTTAGCAATTTTAACTTTAGTCAAGGAAACAAAAGTTAACCATTCAGTTCAAATGAACGAAGTGAGTTAGAGGGACAGTACATTGGTAAAGGTACTTGCCTTGCATGCAAATGACCTGGTTTTGATCCCAAGCACCATATATGGTCTCTGGACCCCTGTCAGCAGTGATTACTGAGCATAGAGCCAGAACTTAGTCCTACCCACAGACAGATGTGGTCCAAAAACAGAAAGAAAAAAAAATCTGGGTGAAGGGACATTTCACAACTCCACAGTCCAAAAGGCAACAGAATGAGTGATTAGATATATATCAGTATATAACAGTATTAAATTATTGCTCAACTATCCTCAAGTTATTTTAGTGCAGAGGGCAAAGTTATTTTAACATGACAGCTTGGAATAGGATAGATAAAAAGTAAAATAATATAGAACCAATAAATCATGCTTTACAGAAACAAATTAGCACCCTTCTCATCTCTTTCAAAGATTATAATAATACTGATAAAAATGCCATTGAAATAAAGTACACATACAAAATACACTAAGATTAAACACACAACACACACACGCGCACACACACTCCATTCCTACGCAATGAAAACCATCCTTTGTCATGGTATTTTTTGAGTCTTAACCATGCTGGTAGCACCTTCCTGAATGATGAGGGTTTTCTTCCTTGAAGTCCTCTTCCTTCTGGCCCCTGTGGCTCCATGCAGGGCAGCCCGTGGCATGAGCCCAGAGCAGCAGCTCTACTGTTGAGTGCCTGCCACAGCTAAGCTAGACCTGAGTGAATTGGGCTCCTGCAGAGTCCAGAATATGGAGGGTGAAGGTGCTGAGTTTAGCCACTGGCCCTGGCCTAGCCTTGGCCTCTAAACTGTGGCTGCATTATTAGCAGCAGTGTGGGAATTAGTGTCAGTGAGAAAAGCTGAGAGTCACACCCAAACTGAAGCTGTAAACTTTTTTCTGTTTCTATATTTTGTTTTCGGACACATCTGACAGGGCTCAGGGAACCACCTAGCAGTGTCAGGGATGGAACCCAGGTTGGCAGTGTGTAAGGCAAGTATCCTTTCCACTGCATCATCTCTCCAGTATCTTGAACTAAGGTATTAGCAGGAGGTGGCATGCAAGAATGGGGCTCCCATATTCCTGACACCATTCCAGAGCACCCCTGCCTCATGGTGGTCAGGTCATTGGGGTACTTACACAGAAACACTGTCAGCCATCACATTCTTTCTGCACCGGCTCCTCCCAGCACCTGACCAGTGCTTTGCCATCCATAGGCCTTTGATGCTCCAACAGCACCAAGCAAACCTCTGAGGACATTCACCCGTTTGCATCTCCGTAGCTCCAGGAAGAAGCTCCCTTGATGCAGCCCTCCCTCACACTCCATCCTTCCAGCTCTTCCCCATCATCCCCAATGGGGCCTCCCATGCTCCTCAATTGTCACTCGGCTTCTGTCTGCCTCCATCATCCCTCTTGGCTTCAGCCTGTGTCTTCCGTCAAGCAACATGAGCAAAACTTCTTGCATGATCTTTGGGGTCTCCAGGGCTTTAGTTTCACTCAAGTTCATGTCAGGTCAAATATGACAGTCACGGGTTCCTATGACACTGCACTAGGTTCCTGTAAGTATTTCTCAGGATGACTCGCATGATACAGACAGAAAAGGGATTCTTTTTTTTTTTTAATTTTTATTAGCGAAACACCATGAGGTACAGTTGTAGACTTACAAATTTTTGTACTTGGATTTCAATTATACAATGATCAAATACCCATCCCTCCACCAGTGCTCATTTTCCACCACCACGGGTCCCAGTATCCCTCCCATCCCCTATCCCCCCATCCCACCCTGCCTCTGTGGCAGGGCATTCCCCTCTGTTATCTCTCTCCTTTTGGGTGTGTGGTTTGCAAAAGAGGCATTGAGTGGCAATCATGTTTGGTCTATAGTCTACTTTCAGCCTGCTTCTCCCATCCTGGGAGGATCCTCCCAACACCCTTTATTTGGTGCTCCCTTCTCTATCTGAGCTCCCTTTTCCCCTAGCATGTGTGGCTGGCCACCAACCCATGGAGCAAACCTCCTGGTACGAATCTTGGCCATTCTTGGGTGTTCGTCTCCTATTTTGTTACTTTATGCTCCCCAGATGAATGCAGTCTTTCTATGTCCGTCCCTCTCTTTCTGACTCATTTCACTTAACATGATACTTTCCATGTAGTACCACTTGTATGTAAATTTCATGACTTCATCTTTTCTAACAGCTACATAGTACCCCATTGTGTAAATATACCAAGGTTTCTTTAACCAGTCATCTGTTCTTGGGCACTCAGGTTTTTTACAGATTCTGGCTATTGTAAAGAGTGCTGCAATGAACAAACAAGTGCAGTCGTCACTTCAAGTATACTTTTTTGCCTCTCTGGAATATATTCCCAGGAGTGGAATTGCTGGGTCAAATGGCAGCTCAATTTCTAATTTTTTGAGAATCGTCCATACTGTTTTCCAAAAGGGTTGGACCAGCCTGCATTCCCACCAGCAGTGAAGGAGGGTCCCTTTCTCTCCACATCCGTGCCAGCACAGGTTGCTTTTGTTCTTTTGGATGTGGGACAGTCTATGTGGTGTGAAATGACATCCATTGTTGTTTTGATCTGCATCTCCCTGATGATTAATTATGTACAGCATTTTCTCTTGCACCTTTTAGCCTTTCGGATTTCTTCTTTGGGAAAGTTTCTGTTCATTTTGTTGTCCCATTTTTTGATGGAGTTAGATGTTTTCTTCTTGTGGAGTTCAGCCAGTAATTTGTATATCCTTGATATCAAACCCTTGTCGGTTGTGTATTGGGCGAATATCCTTTCCCATTCTTTAGACTGTCTTTGTTTTTTGGTCACTGTTTCTTTTGAGGTGCAGAAGCTTCTTAGTTTAAGATAGTCCCATTTGTCTATCTCTGTTTTCACTTGCTCGGCCAGTGGCGTGACATCTTTGAAGATACCATTAGCTTCAATGTCATGGAGGATTTTGCCAACTTTGTCTTCAATGTACCTTATGGATTCTGGTCTGATGTTGAGGTCTTTAATCCATTTTGATCTTACTTTTGTACATGGTGTTAGGCAGAGATCTGAGCCCACTTTTTTGCATATAGCCATTCAGTTTTACCAGCACAATTTGTTAAAGAGGCTTTCCTTGCTCCACTTCACTTTTATTGCCCCCTTATTGAAGATTAAATGATCATATTCTTGTGGGGAGATGTCAGTATATTCAACCCTGTTCCATTGGTCTGCAGCTCTGCCTTTGTTCCAGTACCATGCTGTTTTAATTATTACTGCTTTGTAGTAGAGTTTGAAGTTAAGGAGGTTAATTCCTCCCATTTTCTTTTTCCCAAGAATTGCTTAAGCTATTCGTGGGGGCTTATTGTTCCATATAAATTTCAGGAGTGTTTGCTCCATTTCTTTAAAGAATGTCATGGGTATCGTAATAGGGACTGCATTGAATTTATACAGTGCTTTGGGAAGTATTGCCATTTTCCCACCAAGAATCCCTTTTGTTTGAGAAATTCAAACAAGGCTAGGGGGAGGGGGGCAGAAACAGGTTGAATGTATGACACAGTTGACTTGGAAATTTTTGGCCCTTGTGCATCCAGAAATTTTTTACTATGGCCAATTTATTTCATGGTCCCCAGATTCAGTTACATAATACCATATTTGGTTGTGACTCTTGGGTTGAGTATGATTACATTTTCACTTCTTTTTGTTAGTGTTGATCAGCACTTGTTATTTGCTGAAACTTCCTAAATTTTCACTAATCTTTCCTGTATCTACATTAGATTGAAACTCTGAAGATGTTAAATATTTTAGGTAAATTACTAGTTCCCGTGATAGCAAATTTTATGTCTCAAACTTTCTTAGGTCCTGGTTCACACACATTCATTTATTCCAGACATTTCTATGAACATCATCATGTAGTCAATAGGCTCTGTTTAAAGCAGATTGCCTTTCTTAATGCGCATGGGTTGGGGCCAAAATAAAGAGTAAAAAACAAGACTTAAGAGAAAAAGGCTTTGCATGTTTGAACCCCAGCCCTGCATGGTTGTTTCCCCTTTCTCCTCAAGCACACAACCTCGGGAGTAACCCCCAGCGCTGCTGGATATGACCTAAATGAGAAAATAACAACAACTCAGTATCTTAATGTCACAATAGCAACAACTCGGTATCTTAATGTCACTTTAGTTAGATTAAGCATTGGTTTACAAGACTTACTCAAATATATAAACCCTTAAAATTAACAGTTCTGTCACATACCAGAAGATACTGTATTTATGAGGAAGTTTTTTATTATAATTATTTTTTAATTTCTAAAAGTTTATTTTATTATTAAACCATCGTGAAATACAGTTACAAAGCTTTCATGATAAGGTTTAAGTCATACAATATTTCAGCACCCATCCCTCCATCAGTGTACATTTCCTCCTAACAATATCCCCCATATCCGTCCTGCCATCCCATCTCTCCCTCCAAAGCCTGCCTCTATGGCAGACACTTTTCTTCTTTTCTTCTCTCTCTCTCTCCTCTCTCTCTCTCTCTCTCTCTCTCTCACTCTCCACTTTTGGGCATTGTGGTTTGCAATACAGATACTGAGAGGCCGTCATTTTTGGTCCTTAACCCACTTTCAGCACATATTCCTGATCCAGAGGGGTCCTATCCAACCACCATTACCATAATGGTCTATTCTCTATCCCAACTGCAATGAGAGGTTTTTAATGTCAAAAGTATACCGTGCTTTCAAATTTTATGCAAATTCAAGCAAAAATTATAATGA